ATTTAAATAAAAAAATAAATTAACTGTTTTTAATTGTTTTATAATTATTATTTTTTTATTTTGTGTGATGAAAATGGAATATTCTGTATTCAAAGTGCAAAAAATGAAAGATGGCCGCCGAAATTTGTTCGGCACGGGCAGGTTTATATAAATCTTGGCATTGTCTAGTACATTTCTAGTTTCTATAAGCCCATTGATTTCTTTTTTACGCTTAATGTTAAACTGTGTATACTGAGTATTAATATGTATTCATAAACATGTAACATGATATTACTTTCGTGTCAGCATTGCAATATATTTCCTTGACCAGGCAAGAACATTTTCATTACCCTACCGAAAAAAACGTCGTTGACGCCCACAGCTAAAGATACGAGCGCGTTGACCGGAAACGGAATATGCTTTTCTCCCAAAGTCATTATTACAACTGTTGCAATATAGCTGGGTTGGAAAATAAGGAAGAATTCGAAAATAGCATAATTATAAACTAGTTTAAAAGTATAACTTACCTTATCTTTATTATAAAACACCCGTATAAATATTGCATACTGCGTATCTTCAATGAGAGGAGCATTTTGATATTCATCGACATTCCTTCGCTTTCGTCGGGACATGTTACTAGACTTCGAATTATCTCCAACAACGATTTTCATATTGTTTTCGTACCCCTTTTTTGTAATGGCTATGTACGCCTTCATCCCATTAGCAGACTTGTTGAAATGTGTTAAGCCACTTTGAGGTGTATTACGAAGATCTGTCTTTTTGTCTTTGGTGGTATCCCAGCGTTTGACAATAACATCGAAACGCCTAAAAAGACATTTTAAAATTTCGATTGTGTACATACGTAATCCTGTACCTTTCCATAAAGGAGATTAACTGTTTAATTCAAACAACGCGCTAAAATGCATAAAGCTAGAGTATATATCAAAATGTCGGGATCTGATAAAATTTATTTCTTATATAGATACTGAATTGCCCAAATGCATGGATTTACTTCGCAATGCAGAAAGAAAAAAATTAATTTCAGTGCACTCAGAATCGTAATAATACGTTTAGGAATATAGCATAAAAGTAATGTAGATAACATGCATCAAGTCCCTGATCATAGGATATAAATGAAGATGCCAAAAAAGGGCACTACTATACCGTAAACCTCTGACTACAAGCCCCCTCCCCCCCGACTTTAAGCCCACCACATAAACTAACGCTCACCTCATTCCAAATATAAGCCGCCCCTCCCCGAATATAAGCCCCCGAATTTAAGTCCCCCGAATAAAAGCCCAGTAGCCCACTACGTTATTCATGCAACATTGACATTGTCTTTTAATCAGGGTTGGTAAGATAGATGAATAATTAGGCCAAATTAGTGCCGTTTAGAAAACAAGAAAAGAAAGGATTAGTGTGACGGTAATTATTCAGCATACCTACCACCCCTGCTTTTAATATAGCAGAGAACGATATTTAAAAACATTGTCATAATTGATTGTCTTTATAGCTTACTATGTTAATCAAAGTGCGTTATTAAAACATGTTTATTTTCCTGTTTATGACCGACTTGTTTATGTCTGACTTATTTATGACTAACACAAAAGATCGTCCATGTTTTAGTTCCTCGTGTATAACCCCCCCCCCCCCTTGTATAAGCCCATCAAAAATCGCTTATACGAAAGTATATAAGCCCAGGGCTAATTGTCGGAGGTTTACGGTAGAATACAATCACCATGCAGGGATATGCAGATTCCTTTTATCTAAATTTGGAAAACATTAAATATTTTCTGGTAACTCAAAACATTTCTGGGAGCACTGGTTCCGTCATAGGGTGGGGACCCTATCATTGATACAACGATGAAGTATGAATAAATTCCTAACGGCAGGAATTGTATACAGCTATTTCAGTTAAGGTTGTCCACGAGTAAAGCGGAATAGTCGAATACGAGCGCGAAAGGCTGCTGGGAAAATTTATGTTTAAATTAATGAATTTTCAAAGCGGTTCCCAGCAGCCTTTCGCGCTCGTATTCGACTATTCCGCTTTGCTCGTGGGCAACCTTAATTGAAATAGCTGTATATATTAACCTGCGATCAGGCCTTTATTTTTCTCGCGGTGAGTGGGCGAAGAAAAATTAAATGTTTGTGTTGTACAACAGCTTGTATGGTTGTAGCTCTGATTGGCTGTTTCTAGCAAAAATATCACGCTATATCATTTCCACAAAAATTTGCAATTTCAATTTTAGCAATTGAACTTAACTTTAATTTCGGGTAATGCCTAGTGAGTTAGCTTTCGTGTTTCTTTGGAAGCGAAATTAGAATGAAACATTTAAAATCGGACGAAAGTATACTTGACGTCCTTTGGAAGTTCGTGGTATAAATTTAGCATTCGAATATGCCTTCGCCTTTCGAATATGCCTGGAATAACAAAAAATCAAAACGTTTGGGTTTTAATGGTTTTCCGTGCAAGACATTGTATATGTGCAAGAGAACATACTTTCTCTGATGAATGAATAAATGTTTGTCCAACAATCATGTTTTTCATTCTATGGCTGTTTGCCAGGAGTGAAGAGGCAACAAATATAAAAAAATGCATGTCGGAAAGCTTGCAAAATCGTTTCACATAACAAATTGTAAAACTTTTTACCATTTTTAAACGTAAGCATTTATAAGAATTGATTTAGTATGAGAAATCCTAAAGTATAGGACAAGTCTGTTTCAATGGACAACTTGCATGTTAGACTAAATTTTAACCTAAGTAAAGAAAACGGAGTCAAACTCAACAGTTAAAAAGAACATAATGAAATTAGTAAAATTGCAAAATTTGGTTGCGAAATGTTGTAAAATACAGAAAATAATTATAGCCTTGCGAAGTTTGCATATTTTCAATATATTTGTATATTACGTGCGGAAATTGTCACCATTTTCGGCTCAAAAATGGTAACAATTTCCGCACGTAATATAAATTTACTGAAAATATGCAAACTTCGCAAGGCTATATTTTCTGTATCTTACAACATTTCGCGACCAAATTTTGCAATTTTACTAATTTTAATAAGTTCTTTACGGGAATTTACTTTTTTTTGCCTAAATCAAAATGTGTGATTTTGTATTAATGTGGACTTTGTTCTTTGTATTAATGTGGACTTTGTTGAATGAATAAATGTTTGTCCAACAATTATGTTTTTCATTCATTCTTTTGGCCACAATAAAACTATAGCCTATATCAAGTTAAATCAAATAGGCTAATGTTTGATGGGCAATTTTATGCAAATTTTTAACATTGTCAAACATGCTTATTCGATTTAAAAAATAGATAACTCAGTCAATGTTGCACGGAAATTCAAACGTTATATATCAAAATCTAAGTTAGCCCTTTCTGAATACAATAAAACTTATTTTGTTAAATAGCTTTTATAGGTTTTATGTTACATTAAATCAAATAGCGCAAGTTTTTTGGGACACCCAGTATTTAACTATGGTTTGATTGGTTAGGGCTAATCAGATAACGATGTTTTTAGTGGTTGTAACTATTGTTAGCTTGTTGTTATATGAAATTGAAATTTCCTCCTGGCACATTTTGATTGGATTCTAAATATAAAACGACTTATAGTGTGACAGACTCTGTATGTAATACAGAGCATGATTTCAGGTTAGAATCGTACCGCCTTTTGATGTATTCAAAAAATGTACTTACTGTATTTTCCCTATTTCTCTAAGATTTACGCTTGGCAGCCTGAATCCTATTTGTGTCTTTGTGTCACTAACAGCCACGTTCGAAGTGACGTCAGCTTTTACGTCACCATCAAGCGCTAAAAAAATAAAAACAAATAAAAAAAACAAAATACACGCCGGACCCCACGCTAGAAACGAGTTTTTATCGTACGCGTCTGATGTGATAATTATACACGTCACATCTCGCAAAAAATGTCAAAATTAAACATAAAATTCTCCCTTTTCCTTCGGTAAAATTTGTTTTAAAACTTAATATCGGCTAAACAAGTGCAATATCCTTTTTTCTTAAAATTCTATCCAAGGAAATTTTTTAATATTGATTTTTGACGTTTAATTTTCTAAGAAACTTATCGATAGAATTTTTTAAAATTGAAGAAAAAATCATTATACCAGTATTATATTTTATGCAAAGATTTAAAAAATTTATCCAAGGGAATTTTTAAAACCGCCGGAAAAGACAAATTTTGAGCTATATTCTAAGCATGCTGTTGCCATGGTAACAGACTTTCAACATGAAAGTAGCAAATTGCAATGTTCAGGAAAGCATTGTCAATGTGTCCAATAAATTTCGTCTTCATGTCATGTAAAGAGAAGAACTTCGAAACAGGAGTCTCCTGGATATTACAGTGTTGTTTATAATGCAAAAATCCTAGGGAGCCACGTTAAACAAGTGAATTTTTTTTATTCGCGATCAATAATCGCGGACGTGGGTCACCTCACTGGTGAACAGCGAACACTGATTGGTCCAATTTAATGGCGAGAGCGAAATTATAGCAAATATTTCTTCATTTGTAACGAAGTTAACGAATGTAAGTTTGTTTTAAATATTGTCTGTATTGATGTATTGTTTGCTTTATGATTGATTTAAAAAGGTGATCGTTGCGTATATTTTAAATGAAAAAAGACAGCACATAATTTTAGTGTATCTTTATTGATTACCCTTTCTTACTATATTAAAATTCTTATACAAAAAAGAAAGCGAACTATTTACATGCGAGACTTTGAAATTAATTTATTTCAAACTCACAGTTTATCGACAAAGGCAGTTTAGTTTTATAAAAAAAACCATTTTAAAACGTTTTGCGAAGCGTTTGCGGTAAAATTTTACATTGAATTGAAGATTATATTACGCATAATAACATATAATGTTTGGGAAAGTGATATTTTTAGGGGATTTTTCAATTGTCAAGGGTAGTGCGAAGTTTCAGGACCGGCCAGGCCCTTGGGGTAATTGCAGAATACAACTTTGGCTTCCTAAGAGACAATTTGACAGTTAAAAATAATTCTGCGAATAGTACGTGAAAAGTAATCAAAAGAAATATGACAAAAAAACAACGAAAATATTTTATTAAACAATTTGTATTTCAGCTCCCGTATTCAGTTGTAAACAAAACGGCATAATTTACACGCTTTTAGTAATTTTATTCATTAGAAATAGTTTTAATTAATTAAAGAAAACCTCTACACACAGTTAAACTTTATCGCCATTTCGTTTTTCTCCAAAGGTGAACAGTGCAAGGATATCCGAAGTTGAGGAACCAATTCAACTGCGTGAAAATAGCACTCCACTTCCCGAGTATAGGAAATTCACCCGTTCGCCCCCTCTCTGATTGGCTCATATGCACATTTCATGAATAGGAAATCTTCCCATCTCCGAGTTGCGCCACATGCACGATTGACCTCGACAGCAGTTACACAAAGTATGGCTTTACAGTCTCTTTATACATTGTTATTCCTCTAAAGGATTACCTGAAAATTTCATGAAAAAGGAGATTTTCTTCCGAAACGGAAATTTCGATTTAAGCGGAAGCACTGCTTAGTTTATTTCTATACATAAATATTACTTAGCTATATTTGTAAACTGCTTAGTTTATTTCTATACATAAATATTACTTAGCTATATTTGTTTACTACTATAATTTTTAGAAAGTTGTTATTGGTCCGGTCACGGAAACCAACGAGCTTTGGCTATTTGTTCGTGAATTAATTTGATTGGTTTGTTTTGAAACCAAGATCACATTATATAAGCAAGACAGTCTTGAATGATGTTTCCTCAACCGTATACCGAATCCAACATTCACTCAGCACAGTACCGTTTCGTCAATGGTAGATCATGCACAACTCAGTTATATATTATTAATTTTACACACTAACAGAAAGAATTGTACAAAGGTTTATATACCGTAGACTGATTTTGATTTTAACTGTTACAAAAATTGCCAGATTTTCGTTTCTCAGGCTCTGTCCTCCTCCGGTTTAAAAATTATTTGTCAGTACATTTTGAACGGGTAACTGCCTTGTGTGTATAACATCTAAGTCTTAGCCTATAACATCTGGAGTTCCACAAGGATCAATAGACGGTTTTAGATAACAAGGCGCGGACGTCAAGAGGACGTGGATGTCGTCATTTGGCGCCAACTATCGTCAGCTTCTGGTTTGCGACGTCGTCTTGGACGATTTCACGACGCGAAAATACAATTTTCACGTCCTCTCTAGAACGTCACAGATTTTTGCTTCTTATGAAAAAATATGAGACTATATGCATAATAAAAATCATCCTATTTTGTTCCCCATGTATTGTTTAATGATACTAGCTAAAGTTTTTCCATTGACAAGGTTGTTTTTCTTGTATTTCGTTAAATTTTAGACGAGTTGATTTTCGACAAATACTTTCGGTCGCCATAAACAAATCAACAAAACTGCAAGCATTGTTAATTAATAATCACTTCAATACCGCTAATAATCTTCACCAAAACAAATATTTTAGAACAGACTAAACTGAAGTTATATTAACAACTGTTTAAAATCAGGAAAACGTGGGAAAATAGAAAAATAAAAGCATTTAAAAGCAGTATAAACTCGATCAATTTTAGTTGCTCTGTCACAACAGTGCAAAAAGTAGGACAAGCAAAAAAAACGCATTCCAGCGTGAAAAACTATCGTAAACAGTATTAAATTTTACCATTATAAACACTGATGCTATATTTATACTGAACAGTTGTCAAATTTGATTGAATAGGCTACAATAAAGCCTTTAGCTCGTAAACAATACCTGCAGCTATTGTATTTATTCCAAATGATGCAACAAAGTTCACTTTTCAAAATACCTAAATATAACGGTTTTTCTAAAACAACTTATTGAATGTTCATACTATTTCATCAGGAAACACTTGGCCAGTATTATATAGTCTTTTCTTGCACATATCTTTACAACTGATTGAAAACAATAAAGGAATGAAAAGGTAACAAGAAAACAAAAATGTGCTTCGAAAAAGACAAACAAGCCGTCCCAGATTAAAACCCGGAAGTGAACGCGAGGTGCATACGTCATTTTCACGTCCTCTTGACGTTTGCGTCTTGTTATCTAAAACCGTCTATTATTTTTTACGTAGCTGCAAATCTACTTCTACAAAGATCGGTTTGAGGAAGCTGTACAGATAAGAACATAATCATTGTGATGCCTTGGCTTTGCAAGAGGATATACATGAGAGCCTTCACTGTTGGTCAGGTGAAAATATATACTGCGCTTTAATCAATCAAAGTTTAAAGTAACGCTCTCTGAATTCTCTCCATAACCAGAAGAACATCACCATTGGTTACTCTTATATATATATAGCCTTGGCGGCGAACAACCACAGGCCATGTAAATGATTTAATGAAATAATGCAGCAACTTCCAAAAATATAACATGTAGATTGTAGCGGCAGGGAATACAACACGGACTGTAGGACCAAATCAATTTGACAACAATAGTATTTTATCTAAATAGCAATTAAAATAAAGTGTACGGCACCTGAATTGTTCAATATCTTGCTTGACAGTGCTTCTAAATCCTTCAAACACTCATTATAATTCATAAGCTTATTGGCAAATCATGTCAACCATAATATGTCACGTGCAGTGGCTTTAAACCTGATAAAACACTCCTAATTAGTATTCTTTATATAAAGAATACTAATAAGGCAGTATCTATTGTAGTCGTGTCCTCATTAGTATTTTTTATATAAAGAATACTAATTAATCAGTAAATCTATTGAATTTGTAGTCGTGTTTGAAGCCGTTTACTAAACCTAATAAAACACTCCTGCTCGTTTATTAAACAGTACATAGAACATTCAGATATTATGCAAATACTGTATATTTTCAATCATACCTGTATACATATACGAAATATTACGTCGGTGATTTTGACTAATAATAAGAGGGTAGATGATCCACTTATTTCATCGTTCGAAGCGAGAAGAAACCATGCTTCCATATATGGCACAAACGTGTCCTCAACTTCCTTAAATGGCGCAAACGTATCCCCAGAATATCAGTTATCGAGGCCGCTATGATGTCATAAGATTCCTCACGCTCGGGACGATTTAAGAGGTCACGTGGTACGGAACCCAGACAGCTGATTGGGTTAGCGAGTAACAACGCTTACTTTGATCCTACCCTCTTATTATTAGTGAAAATCACCGACGCAATATTTCGTGTGAACCGCGAATGCTTGGGTTCTAATGTAAATAAATATGGCGGATTTTGGAAATAGACAGTATTTGCATAATATCACAATCTTTTATGGATTTAGAAGTACTGTTAAGCAAGATATTCAACAGTTCAGGTGCCGTACAGTTTATTTTAACTGCTATTTAGATAGAATACTATGGTTGTTGGTTACAATAACGGCGACCCCTGAATTACATAATTACATTAGCATTAATCTAGACAGTATATAACAAACTTACAAAATGACATGGCAAACCAACCTCTTTGAACATTATCCATCGACCTAGGTGTTATTATATCAGTCCGAACTTAAGGTAGAACGTTCAGGTGAGCATGCAGGTACGGTCAAAAGCTAACCAACCACTTGGCTTCATCAGACGGGTTACTATGGAAACACAGGATATTGAAGTAAGGAAATACTTATACCTCCAAATATACTTTGCATATCTGCCTCAGAGGTTTCTTCCCCGCAATCCATTCAATTAATTGGAATATCGAACAAGTGCAAGAATATACATTTTAAAGCTCAGCTTATCACCAATGTTCCATATACAACAAGGCCACTTCAACTTGACCTTTTAGCATTAACATATTGGAACGAATACTTGGATCTAATTCCTCTATCCAAGATCATCAATAACTAAACATATAAAGACGACAGTGCTTGACCAGCAATAACAGAATGCGGAATTACCAGAAGCGAAACAGATACTAGTTTAATCAAATTCATGAACAATACCATATGCAATGACTGTTTCTTTCCAGACATCTTACTTTATTAAAGCATGTTAGACATGTGAAATTTAAAGTTGTGACCTTCGTCATAGAGATGTTGGACTGCATTATTATATTATCAACTCTTTATTACCAAAATGTCACATCAGACGTGTAACTTTAGTGCTTTTAAATCAGGACTAAAGAGAAATCATAAGAACAGGCTATGCAACACGCACGCACAGTTGTGATAACCCTCGTACAAGGTAATGTATGGAAATGTTAAATGTAGAAGCAGGGCCGTCGCGAAGAGGCTTAAGCAGGAAAAATCCTTTATTTTGCCGACAACATGTTTTCAGGGGAGATCCCCCCGCCCCATTCCAAAACCATCCTAGCGATGGCCCTGTGTAGAAGGACCAGTTGCCTGGCTATATTTGCTATATAATTGTTATAGCTCTTACTTTTCAATCCGAGCCACTCAAATATTTTCGCTAACTACGAAAACAATTTGCCAATAAATCCGTTAATTTGCCGACAAGATGTTTTCAGGGGGTCTCACCCTACCCCCTATAACGACGGCCCTGTGTACGGGTGCAATTACGCACATCAAACGCTTAGGTCTGTTTAAGCCAGTATTACTTACCACTTCTAACAGTTTCTCTTGACACATTTTGAGCAGTACCCTCGCCAGCACCCGTGGAAGCCGACAGTGATATAGCATACCTGGTTCCTGGATTAAGACCACGTATGGTGCTCCCGCTGCTTGGAATGGTCTTTGGTTCATTATTGCAAATGGACGGATGACCTATCAAACTGGCGCACACTTTGTAGTTTATTATCTCACCGTTACGTTCCGAGGGTGGGAACCATATGACGTTTAGTGTTATTAAACCGAGAATTATAGAATCTATTATTGGAGGGCCAGGTCCTGCAGAGGGAAAAAAATCAGATTAAAATATAGAAAAACATCATTTGTATATAACAAAGATTTAAGGTGGAAATGAAACTGCGTTTTATGTAAAAAACTGTAGCAAAAAGTTGAACCAGACAAAAAGGGTTGGCGATATGAAACTAATATTTCGTAACAGTGACCAGCCTATCATGCATTCTGAAGATAACCATTTAATCTAATGTATAATCCCCGAGCCGACGGCGCGAAGCGCCGTGCGAGGGTACTAATTCCCCCCGGCTATTTACACCCGGGGAAACGAAACCATTAGCGAAGTCTAAAGTTCATCAAATATCGCGGGCGTGGGTCACTGTGCGTGTTTCGGTGGGTGGTCATCCTCACTGATCTCATAATATAACGGACTGTAATGAATAGCCGACACTGATTGGTCCAATTTAAAATTGGGATTATAACGGCTGCATGACGATTGACGACAGCGAAATTGATTTAATGATTTCTTGCAAATATATTTCATTTGTGCAAGATTTTGTAAATTGCAAAGGATTTTTGATGAAATAAAGGCAAGAGGATTGCTAAAAGAAGGAAGTAAAGGTGCAGACGTTAACGAAGGTAAGTTTGTTTTAAATATTGATGCATTGTTTGCTTTTAATATACTGTAATCTCGGCTGTAATTACTTTAAAAGCCGATCGTTGCGTATATAAAATATGAAACAAGACAGCGTATTATTTCAGTGTTTCTTTATTGATTACACTTTTTATTATACTAAGCAAAGTTATTTACATGGGAGAATTTGGAATAATTTTGTTTCGAACTCAAAGTTTATTGATAAAGGCAGTTTAGTTTTATATTAAAAGAACACTTTCAAACGTTTTGCGAAGCGTTTGTGGTTGAATTTTACCTAAATTGAAGCTTATAATATTACGTATAATAACATACCTACTGTAATTACTTTAAAAGCCGATCGTTGTGCATAAATATGAAACAAGACAGCGTATTATTTCAGTGTTTCTTTATTGATTACACTTTTTATTATACTAAGCAAAGTTATTTGCATGGGAAAATTTGGAATCATTTTATTTCGAACTCAAAGTTTATCGATAAAGGCAGTTTAGTTCTATAGTAAAAGAACATTTTAAAACGTTTTGTGAAGCGTTTGTGGTTGAATTTTACCTTAAATTCAAGCTTATATTACGTATAATAACATACCTAACATATATATGTTTAGGAAATTGATAATTTTGTAATTAAAAGTGATATTTATAGGGGATTTTTCATTTGTAAAAATATTCTTAAAAAATTATCGTGTTACCATGACAACAACTTAAAATACTTCACGTTCGGAAAATAAAATAGTTTGTCTGCAAGGCGAGGGTTTCTGCATGCATGTATTTTCTAGT